GGGGGGGGGGGGGGGGGGGGGGGCGTGCATAAGCGCACCAGCATGCCTACCATCCCATGACCCCATTTATATGTACTCTTTTTATGTGTTTATGGCTGTGTTTTGCTTATTTATATCCATTTATTTGTGCCATTTTCCCATGTGTTTTCATATTTGTTTCCTTGTACTTGTTGACAAATAATAAATAAATAAAATAAAACTCAATTGCAGAAAATATAACTTCAGCAACAGAGTGGTCAACGCCTGGAATGCTCTCCCTGATTCCATTGTTACATCCTCAAACCCCCACGACTTCAACTTTAAACTTTCTACCATGGACCTCACCCCATTCCTAAGAGGTCCATTAAAGGAGATGTGTATGAGCGCACCAGCGTGCCTACCATCCCTGTCCTACTGTCCCCATTTATTTGCATTCATTTCCTTTGTTCATGTCCATCTTCATAACTTATAACTATGTTGTACATGTTTGACAAACTAATGAATAAAATAAATGAAATAATAAAACAACATAAGATCTGTTCACAAGATCCTGAAGAAACTTTAAAACCTCTCACGTTATCAGCATGACTTTTAACCCCTGTATCTGCCCTAATCAGATTTTTACCACTGCAGTCCTAGGATAAATATCCTTCTTTGGTTGCAAAATGCAATTGACTTAGCAGACCATGGAGAAGACACCTCTTGCTGATTCTAAGGGGGAGAATTTGTAGCCATCTTCTCTAAAGCCACCAGGGAGGAGATGCAATGGGGTCAAACCACAGCTGTGAAAGGTCTGGATTCTTTACCTGCTCGCATTTGTAATAATTGACAGACATTTCATCCAGGATGAAGTAACGGCGTTTCCAGCTCTTTCTCTGAAAGGCAAGAAGAATCCCTGTAAAAAGCTTTTAAATTGTTCTTCCAAATCCTTTGTGTAACACAGAGGACATTCTGAGAATGGCTGTTAAGAATCTGCATTGGTTTTTATGTTTGTGTGGTGTGATTGAAGGTCCAGCTTCAGCTGCAGTGTGAGGGCTGCCATCTTAAGTGTCTTTGGAGAATTCTCATCCGGGCAAGTCATGGTTGTCCCAAAGGTGCTTTTTTCCAAAAGGCAAACCGGACTTTCTTCTTCTTGTTTTTCTTTCCAAACGTTTTGCTTCTCATCCAAGAAGGGAACCAAAGAAGCTTCTTGGATGAGAAGCAAAACGTTTTTGAAGAAAAGAAAAAAAACCAAGGAAGTCCAGTTGCCTTTGGGAAAAAGCACCTTGGGGCTTCCATCTTAACTTTTAATTACCACACCCTGCAGACACACACACACACACACACACACACACACACACACCAGGAGTGGGATTCAAAAATTTTAGCAACTGGTTCTCTGCTTGGTTGCTGGGTGAGCATGGCCATGGTGGGTGTGGCCTACTCAGCTTCCTGCACCACAGCTGGGAGGGGCATTTACACCCTCCCCAGGCTCTGGAGTTTTCCTTGAGCCTCTGGGAGGGTGAAAATGGCCTTCCCCAGGCTCTGGAGTTTTCCTTGAGCCTCTGGG